AGAGTGTAGTTCGCAGTTGGCCATTAATTCCTTGCCTTTTGGGTTGACCTGCAGGGCCTAGAACCTGTAGGCTCACTTGTGTGAAGAATGCTGTATAGTTGGGATATATCTGTAGTGTTACGTATTATAGTGCTTAAAGCTTTAGACAGGACTTTCTAGTTGAAAAGCAAGTGTTGTGTGTGCTGCCCCCAGAATTGTTTCTTCACTTTTTCCCCTTGCTTTGTGGGGAAAGTGAACTGCTTCCAACCTTCTTCTGGGGGTGCAACTTGCTACTTTTCTTTTTTTTCCATCTGTGCCTGGCTAAAATCTACAGACACTGAAGCAGGATCATGTACAAGCATCATGCAGTTGCTCATGGGATGGGAATGATCCTGGACACCTGCTCCTTGCAGCCCTCACTGGCACACTGCAGGCAAGGTTAATGCTGTTGGATAAGGACATAGAGATAGGAAGCTCTTCTTCTTTTCTTTTGTATCATGAAAACACAAGGTGCAGCTGACCAGCAAATTCTGTGTGTGTAAGTTCTGTTGCATTTGAAGGTACATCTGGCTTGGCAGTCAAATGAGGAAGGCATTTCACTTCACTGTCATTGTAGGAATAGGACTTAAGGCTTTTCCTGTTACAAAACTGGTTGAAACAATTTTCCTGTCACTATGTTTTTTACAGTATTTGATGTACATTCTGTGACTCTGCTGCCTATGAAGTTTTGCCATGCGAGTCGGATGACTTAGTTCTTTATATGTTAAATTTTAGAAACTTACCAATCTGTTTTTATACTGAAGAACAAGGTTAGTTACTCTGCCCATCACCTGTAAACTGTGTTAAATTCCAGCTCCCTGTTGGAGATCAGCTTGTCAACATTGTCGTTCATTTCAGAGTAAAAGTACATTTCCTTGAACAAATGACCTGATGATTGTAATCCCAGAGGTAGTGAGAAGACAAAGACAAAGCACGTTTCCTTCTTCCCAAGCATGAAGGTTTATGTGAAATGGTAAAAAAGACTTGGTGGAAAGTGCATAGGTAGAACGTAGGGTGCTGTTGCTGAGCAACTTCGTCTTCAGTGCCTGAGGAGGAAGTAAGAATATAGACGTAAACCAGTGAAACAGACTTGTGTAAGCTGGGCTAGGAGGAGTGGTTCCCTACTTCAGCTGGAGATCTGTGCTGTGTGTCATTGTACGTGCATGAAATACACTGTGCCACGCTCTCTGGAGTTGCGTTTGGACGGTTGGGTTGCCTTTATCTGACCTTGCTTTGTGCTTTTCTGGGAAATGACCTGTAATATGTTGTAAATAATCTAGATGCTTTCATTTATAAAGTAGCAATCAGCAATTCATCACCTGACAATTCGTTCATTTAGCTAGCCTAGGAAAATGGAATATTTATTAAAACCAGAATCACTGTTGGAACCGCTTACTTGAGATCTAAACACTTCCCAATCTTTGCTATGTTTGAATCGATCAAATGCAAATTAAAGTATTTTCTGCTACAACTTCTTCTTGTGAATGTAATTTTTGGGTTTTCATTTGAAATGGGTTTTTTTACTACCTTTTCATTTACCTTTCAGCTACACTTGGTAGAAATTATGTAACTTTAATTATTTCTGTGTCAGTCATTTAAGCTTAAAATGATGAGCAGGCTTTTAATCTCACTTCAATGCCATTCAGAAAGCAAATGTAACCTGTGTGTCTGTTGCTGTTTACAGTGCATTGTGTGATAGCACGTCAGAAATTCATGTGCCAGAAGTATGTTTCTGCATGGACATGGCCATGTGCAGCTCTGTTTACATCCAGTTGTTCTAATAGGCAAAAAGGCTTATGTTGAAATGAAGCCGGGTCTGTTCTGTCCCTTTCTCAGAATAGCTTGTAACATAATTTTGTTAGTGCTTGTTCTGGTTGGTTCACCCAGTGGGACTCTTCATGTGAAACTGTTTCCCTTACAGGGTTTCCACAGCGCTCTGTTTCATTCCACATATGCATGTGTAACATATTATCTCACTAAAAAATGTGGTACACACATTTCATCCCCGGTTTAGGTGGGTAAGTACCTGTTACACAGGTGATGATAATTACAGTGATTTACGATCCTACCTTTCCCATTGTTGTTTAAATCTCCCGTGTTTGGGAGTATTGAATTCATTAGTGTGACTGGTTGTAGTCACTTGGCATTCCACTTTTCTGCACGCATACTGGGACGCGGTGATCAGGCTTTTTCCCTTATCTGTGCAGCTCTATCTGCTGTGGAGGAAATGTAATTCCTGCAGACGTTTCTTGCACTAGGTTGTCAGGCAGTTTTGTACAAACATGATTGTAGAACTCCGAAGCCTTTAATAAAATTACTGTTCTTCTCCCAGTGCTGTGGCACCTTTTTTAATTTCTGGCTGATCGTTTAATTGGCTTTTTTTCCTTTAGTGAGCATTTGGGAAGAAGCGGAGAAACTAACAGGAGCGTTGGAGGGTTTGCAGCATGTGCTCTGCTTCTGCCAGAGGCTCATGTTTTGGTTTTACCACAGAAATCAAAGACCCTGTGGAAGACTTGCCATATGAACGTGTCCTCCTGTGCTTTCGGCTTCCAAACAGACCCGATCAGATGTAGTCCCCATCTCTTCTTTTTTTCCCTCTGTATCCTCTGTGAAATGTGTACCAGAATTCTCTACTTCTAGTACTTTCTGAAGTTAAATATGAGGAAGACACCAAGCTATTCCACCAGTTGGGGATGCTACAGTTCACCTCAAAATTAACTGCACATTTATAGAAGTAAAGGTTACTAAAGAAAATTAGTTTTTCTCCTAGGGAAACCTGAATTGATTTACAGTGTTTGGTTCACATGGGGGAGAAGGAGACAACGCTAGGGGTGCAGAGTACTTCATAGTAGAGCATACCGGTCTGTACTGGGTACAGTTAAAAGACCTTGAGTAGGGGTTCCTGCTCACTTTAGCAAGCCTAAAAATAATTTATGCTATGCACTAAATCTATGTGCAAATGTCACACACTAGCATGATATTTATCTACCATTTCCACCCCAGACCACCACACTGATCCCTGAACGTACAAGGCTGAAGCAGGGCTCGGCTGACCTTCTGCTAGTTATGCAGAATTTATGCTCTAGGTCCACCTGGCGTTTTTCCACTGTATGTATTCCTGGCTCCTGACCTGTTCCCAGACTGCGCTTCCTAGGTTTTTAATACGCAGCTAAGTACTGTTACATGTATCCTGGCTAGGTATTCGGCTTACCTTCTACATTATATACCTAGAACTGATTGCCAGAGATGATCACAGAACTAACTTTTCAAATATATGAATTTTCAGCCTGCTTTGCAGTTCACAGTGCCCCAGCAGAGCAGATGCCCGTCCCTCTGCTCTCAGACTGGCCCT